CTGAAATAGAGCAGAGGAGTCCTGTCATCAAATGCAATTTCTGTGCTCTGTGAACACCTTTGCACGAACGCTGCGGAGAATACAATACAAACATCTACGGAAAATTATCTTTATAACTCAAAGGCCATTTTTCCTTTCAATGTTCAAAAATAGTAGACTGGATCATCTCCTTCGGTATCTCCTAACCAACTGAAGGCAGACTTGCTAAACAGGCTCAGGGAGGGTAAAAACTTTTTCCCTGCGAAAACGTCTATTAATTTGCAATTGTGCTTCTGCTTCTTGAACAAGTTGGAATTTGGTTAAAGTTCACAGACTGGAAGATTTTTCCTTTTTCCTCAAACTCCCCATCCTAGGGTGACCCAGCTTCCCCTTGCAGCTGGTCATAAATGGAGACCAGGCTCTGGCACTCTGCTTTCACAAGGTATTGTTAGGTCAGCAAAGCCATCAATTAGGCTGTCTGAAGTTTTATCACCAACACAGCAGTAATAAGTGCTGGCCAGAAAGACTTCTGCTCTTCGGCAACTCCTGCAGTTTAAGCCTGTAAAGTTAGGGGTCATTTAGAGGTCAGTGCCAGCTGGGGGCGGCCTCTCCAGTCGAAGCTGGGACACCCAAGGCAGGGATAAGGTAACTGCCAACCATAAACCCAGCCACCTTTCAACCCAGTAGAAAGACAGCACCTCAGGTACACATGGTTGATATTAGAGCCCAAGCAACGTTTTCGAATCAGGTGGTGGCTGAATCACAGGAATGTAGAGGAGAGGCAGTTATTTCGTGGAGAAGCCTGGATCTAATTTTGTTGGAAATCCAAAAATAAGTGCCTACTTCATGTTACTTTAATGTTTAATAATGCCCATCAAATATTCATGTACAAACAGAGTAAGATGATAAGAAATCTCCTTTATTTCTCCAAATTTAATAAAAACAAAACAATTTTCTACCATTTGCGAGTTACCCTTGTCCCTGTGCATTTAATGACGTGCCTTCCCCACGCATTTGAGCTGATGCGCAGGATTCACTGGCTGTGCATTCGGGGGGTGGGGCACACAGGGAGGGGGATGCCTAGCATATAGCTAACTGCTGTTTAAAAATATACCCATTTATGACATTTCCCAATATGTCCAGTTTCCAATCTTAAGTACAGGGGGACGTAATGACTAATGAGTCCACATGGGGCTGCCGGCAGGAACTGAAAACTCATTCTTTGAAATTAGCCAGCAAACTCGGGTGTGTGTTGGCAGCGCTGCATTCCTAGGGAGTTGAAGTCCCCAGATGAAGATCCTTCCAAGGAGGACAGCAGCCCACCCTCATTCAGGCCTCCTGTGAGCACTCTAGTGGGAATACAATTAGGCTGGAGAATAATAGCTGCAAGAAAACCAAAGGAGTCTTTTGCATATGGTGTTTGTTTGCAAAACAACGAACTTCTTTCGTACTCAAGAAAGTATAGCTCAGTTGTCAAACATGTTACACTCCCTTAGGTTTGGGGAAGAAAGTGACGGGTTACAGAGGTAAAAATGAAAGGAGGGTTGAAACTGAAACTGTCTATTTCTTCCCACCTGGCGCCTTCCGTGTTGCTGAGGCGAATCTGACCTGATAGATCGCAAGGCTTTCCAGGAGCATCTTTCAAATCAGAAAAGGGACTTAACTATCTGGTCTTTCTCCACTGCTTTTACTGGGACCAGGGAGCACCGACCCGAGATTTCTACCCCCAGGAATGCTTTTTATCAGCTCAGGTTAAGACCCATCAAGATGCTCAGGAGAGCCAGAGAAACCTTTTCTCTCCTTGAAGTTTCTAATGGAGGACACACATGGCAGGGGTTTCACCTCTTTTTATGTGCTACTAATCCCAGTTTTGTTTTTTCCTATAGGCCAACTCTTTAGGTAAAACGAATTGCTATTTTTTCCCTTTTTAATTTCACCCTTTTACTCTTTTATTATTTACATCTGGAGGTTGTTCCCTTATTTATGTCTTTCTCTCCAGTTCGCCCAAACACTCCCTTACTCACAGAGCTGCAAGGCCTCATGGTTCTTAGTTCTCAGCAGGAGAACTCCACACTGTCTTCAAACAAATAATTACGGGGAAGGTTAGAGGTTCACTCAAAGGTCATTTCTTTGGATACTCGTCAGAATGTTTACATTAGTAAAAACGGGGTCCGCTCAAAAGGTTGTTCAATGGGGGATACACAACAATGCAGAACATTAAAAAAGCATTCTGTATGCTAGCAGGTCTTTATAGAAGCGCTGAACTTGGAAATGCCACTCCAGTATTACATTTTCAACTAGTTACCATGGCATGGACTGGATGTTCACTAGCAGTTACGGCGATGGCCTTTCTTTGCCCACTTCTACTAAACAAATACGCATAGAAGCCTCTGAAGGTTTTCACTGGATCCTTTGAGAAAGGGTCATAGAGATTTTTGCTTTTTCCACTTGGGTTCCATTCAGCCTCTCTGAATTTTTGTTCTCAAACAATGTTTTTGATCCATAGTGCTATATCTTGCCAGATTCATAATTCTACCACATTCTTTCAAGTCACACAGAATTTTAAAAACATATGGGCCCCAATTTTTCAGAAATCTCTTAACATACAACTCCTGCCAATTGTCAACTCCCTGATCATGGGATATCTTATAAACACCGTGGATGTTATTATTAAAATTAACAATTAATGAGTTGACTGTAAGAACACATTAAACAGTAAAAAAGGGAATTACCTCCCTTACTAATGATCCACAGGTCACTCTTAGAAAACACACTAATGTACATAAAGTGGAGCCATTTAATTATAGACTAAAAAAATCAAACCAGGAATAATTTTTATTTCTTTAATATTACTAAGACAAAATTTCCAAATACAGTCTTTTCCCAAAATTACATGACATGAAATTTTCTTTTTCCACTTCATCTGATCTATATTTTAAAATGACCTTATTCAGTGCTTCAGCAGTAAACAGAATATCAAGTTTTGGTTCTACTTAAAATTTGAAGAGTCTAAGTTGAAAATCAACTGATCTTCAATCTTTCAAGGTCTAAGCTCCATTCATATGGAAAAATGCAACTCACTGGTTCAAAGACAAAAGACTTGTCTTAAAAAGGCTCAAAAGGTTTCTTGGATATTAAATGGGTCTTACAAAATAACATTTTGATGAGTTAAGTGTAAATGAATCAGACACATATGGATTAAGTTATCCTTGAATTTCACACGGGTTTAAAAAATAAGGGGAAAAGAGGGTCTTGGCAAAAACATTTTGGACTTTGCCAAACCCAAAACATTTGAAAAATTGCTGAAGACATCCAACTAACCAAAATGCAGCAAGCTGCACCCAACTTTAATGAAAACCCCCACAAGTTATTTCCAATCCAAAGACTGTTAGGTTTTTCATCTGTATCTGATATTAAAAAGTTCTCTAAGTTTTAATGTCATCCCAGAATGATTTTGAAGTTGAGGACACATAATATACTTCTTTATTGGTACAAACAATTTAACCTGAAATTACAAAGTCATCTTAGATACTAAATAGCTCTTAAAAACATTCTGAGGTTTGTACAACTTGTGTGTAAAACGTGCCATCCATGATAAATGCCATAAATAAAATGTGCCAGTAAGCCTAGTGCCATATTCAGGTTTCACTTAGAAAAAAAAATTTCATTCGCCTCACTGTGACTTTTTTTTAAGGGCTACAGATAATTCCATTAGTGACTCCTTAGGGAATGAGAACCCTAAAGTACACTACTTCCATTGATTTGTATTGAACACAAAGTTAGATCCAGGCTCACACAAAGGCTCTGGAGAGCATCTACTAAGACTATCTACTTTCTCACTAAATTCTACTAAAATAGAAAATGCATTAGTATGTGTGATTCTTAAAAATTATATACTAAGACTGTTAGCTTAAAAATAACTTAATTATAGAAATAAATTCAATGACTTTCCAAGAATCATGAGGCCTTTCTGAGTCAACTTAGAGATGAAAAAATATATTAGAAAGAATAAACCCAAGATGGCAAAATATCATTGAAATCTCATCTTGCTGTCTTGCTGGAGAGATGTCTCCTGGAGATCTCCCTCTACCCACAGCCCCACCTCGACCCCCTATGGAAAAGCCAAACTTTTCAGCTTTGCATACTCTGCTGCAACTGAAATCTGACCATTGGGATTTTTCTTTTCACTCCAAAGCATATTTCAGATTGATAGAAGTAGGCTTAGGTGTCATTCCTGATTGTTGGGACATTTCTTTTCCTTTCTTTCTTTCTTTCCTCCCTACTTCTTTTTAAATGGCTGATAAATCCCTTCTTTCTGGTTCACTAACTTCATGCCACACCTGGTAACCAACTCCTTTCGGCAGCATTCCTTTTGTTAGAAAGTGCAGGCTTCCGTGGAGTCACCTGGAAAGCTGCCAGCCCTGAACACTGAGGAGGAATCGGCAATTCCCGAAGTGAAGCTTTTGCATGGATTGGTCTGGTCAAGAAAACGGGCTGAACTGTTGAAGAGGGATCAGATCAATTTGGAAGAGGTGTTGTAGGCAGCTTGGTGACTGGGGACCTGTTAAAAAATGAAAAACCTCGGCTTCTCTACTCTCCCCAGCCCCGGGACTCAACAGTGAGGGGGTTTATTCACAGAGCTTGCTATTCCTTGGTACTTGAAACAATGAAGCCTCAACCTTCGCAAGTCAGTTATCAAGTTTCTTCATTTTTTCTTAGTTCACAAAAAAAGCGAGTCTTTTTCTGTGTCGTGGTTATGGCTATGAGTGGAGTTTTCTCAGTAAGATACGTTAAAATGGTTAAATCTGTAAATTAAGCAGGTTTAATGCCTTCGAACATGTACTTGGGCACATGAATGATTGAGTCATGTGGAAAACATGTATTTCACTGGTAGCCAGACAATGGGTCTTTTCTCACAGACAACCGTGAGCAAAAGAAGGTAAATGAAGGTGATTCATGGGTACTTAGGGCTACATTCACAGCTCATAATTAATTTCCCTGAACTACAGCTTAATTTATAA